AGTGATCTTATATGGGAATTTACAGTAAGGTACTATCAATACTAAAGCTACCCTATATTACTTTGTTGAGTAAATTTCGTGCTAAAAATTATAAAAATTGCATATAGATGATAAATGTACTAGAATATAATATTTTTGTAAAAAAAATCAAAGAAAAATTCAAAATTTAAAAAATCTTTTTTCCAAAAATCCCTAGATGAAGGATTTTTATTTTTGGTTTTATATGATCAAACAAAAGGATATCCCTAGGATATCCATAGGATATTCATATCAATGGTCGATATCCTAGAATGGTCCCCAGGATATCTTGGGATATCCCTAGGATATCCAAACCGCCGGTTTGTGGGACATCAACAGGACATCCATAGGATATCCACAGGATATCCCTAAGACATCCACAAAATATCTATTGGATATTATATCGCAGGATATCAATGGGATGTCCGTGGGATATTCTTAGGATATTCACGGGATATTTAATATATCAACATACATTTTTAAAGGTTAAAATTGTTAAGCTAATATAATGAATAATAATATAATAAAAACAAAAATCTTATGAGCTTCTAATTTATTTTAAATCAAGATTTGAAACGCATTTTTCAAAGTTTTTAAATAAACTCATGCACTTAATGTATAATTAATATTAATAGTTATTCGTTATTTGCGGGGGAGAATTTATATTGTTTAAAGCCAATTTATTTTCTGACAATATTAAGCATATGAATAAAGGAATGAATCACGAATGAGAAAAAAATTAGTTAATAATTTTTCAAATTAAACAACTTTCTCGAAAAACAAGTTGCATTTTATTTTATTTATATAAAATTCAATTCACAGAATATTCTCACTCGTAGTCTCATAATGACTTTAAAAACAGTATCCTGAGAATATCTTCTTGACATCCAGAAGATATACTGAGAATATCCTGACGATATCTATGGGATATCTGGAGAACATTTATCAAAGTCTATAGAGATATCCAGAAGATATCCTGTGGATATCCTCAGATATCCAAAGGATATCCAAACCGCTGATTTTTTGGATATCCTTAAGAGATCCTTTTGATATCCATAGGACATCCCTAGGATATCTGCGGGATATTATCAATATATCCCAAGATATCTTGTGTTATTAGGGTGAGTTCAAATAATCTTCTTTTGAAAAATTGAAAATCAACACCAATGGAAAGCTTCCTCGAAGAAGCAAAAGTGTATTAAAGTAATTAAAAAAATTAATTTAGCGAAGAATTTTAAATAAAATTTTTAAAAATAATTGATTTAAAAATTGAAATTGAAATTTTGTAAAAATTATATGAATAAAAATTTAATTTTAAAGAATTAATAATTAAAAGAAGTTTTATGCAATTGAATTTTTGAAAAACTTGATTAAAAGTTGTAAGAAATAATTAATTCAAAAAGAAAATGAAGTTATAAATTTTGGAGTAATAGTTAAAATTTTTGGAACTAATTGAATTTCACAAGATTGTAAATTAAAATTTTCGTAAATTGGAATTTCTGAAGATATTTTATAAGCTTTAACCCAATAATAAATTAAACTTTAGAGAATTTTGAATTGGAAAATGTTTTAAATAATTGAATTTTCGAAAATCTTCTCTAAATTAATTCTAACAATTTTTATGAAATTTTTCACAAATTTAATTATCTTAAACTATTTTTCAATTAAAAATTTTATAAACGTTAATAATTCTTTAAAATTTTTTAAAATTAGCAATTAAAATGACTAAAAAATTTAATTCAAATTCGCCTTGAAATTCAGTTATTTTCAAAAATTTCAATTTAAAATCATCTAAAAGTTACCCAACTTTTTTTTTAAATTTTCCATCTAAAACTTTCTGAAATTTAATATAATTTTAACTATTAACTCTTCCAAAACTCAATTGTTTTTAATGATTTTCAAAATAGTCTTCGAAAATTAAATTATCTGAAAGCATTTTTCAATTAAAAACTTTGAAAGTTCAATTTTTGTATGTAATTTCTAATAAATTTTTCAGCAACAGAAATCACTTGAAATTTAAACAAAAATCACTTCAAGTTCAATTAATTTCAGAAATCAGAATAGACCTTTTCATTTCAATTCGGCAGTTGATTTTGCGCATGTCTGTTTTTCACTTTTTTCGGCATCTGTCTTCTTTGCTCTTCTACTTAGAGCCAAAACTTTTGGCATCTGCACACTAAAAAGTAATTGAAATAAAAATGTCTATTGTAAATTTTCAAAAAATTCAATTTTTTTAAACGGTTATCTGAAATTATTTGATAAATTTTTTTCAATTCTGTAAAATTTAATTATTGTCTGAAATTTAACAAAATCTTTTGAAATTCAATAATATCCCAAGACATCTTGTGTTATTAGGGAAAAACAATATATATTTTAAGAATTTAGCAAGAAATTTCAAGTGTGACAACTTTTTATTTAATTTCGTTCAAGACCACCGAGGTAAACCTAAGCAATGTCGGATATACATATTTGTCAAAAAAAAAAACAAATTGGAATAAAAAAGTAAACAAGGAGGGGGTCCGAGGGGGTCCTTTATGTTTATTTCGTAAACATTTTGCTTCCTCATTGTGTGAAGCAAAAAATTTGCTTCCTCGTGGAGGAAGCTATGAATTTCTCTAATTCAATTAATTGATTTAAAACATTTCGAGTTAAAAACTGATTTAAATTCATTAAATTTTTTGGAAAATTAAGAAAATTGTAATTCATTTTGGGTGTAACATATACTTTATATATGAGAGATTCTTTTTCAATTGCCCCAGCCCAAAAAGTCAATGTTCTGGGATTGGCTTCATACTTTGGTAAATTGTTCTCCTATATGATAGTAATAAATCCCTAAAATATAAACTCATTAAAAAAATATTTGTAGAAAGTAGAGGGGGTTGAAGTTTTGACGTTAAGGGTAACATTGTCATTTTCAAATCCGTATAACTATGACAAAAGTTAATGGATTTTAATTTATCCATAATGAATTTTATTGCATTTTTCACGTACTTTTCAAAAATGTATACGAAATTAAAAAAAAAAAATTTTTAACCCCTTTTTTTCAAAATCAACCCTTATTTTTCGATTTTCACCCCTTCGGGAATTTTTTTTTGTTTTTTTTTTATTTTCATTGGAAAGCTGAGGTTTTTTCCCATGAGCTATGTAAATATGAAAATGGGACAACAATAATTTTGTGAGAAACATAATATTAAATTAGGCGGTGCCTATCTAAATCCTCAAAGATGATCTCCAGGTACACCCCTTATCGGCACCGCCTACTTTAATATTCTGTTACTCACAAAATTATTGTTGTCCCATTTTCATATTTACATAGCTCATCGGAAAAAACCTCAGCTTTCCAATGAAAATAAAAAAAAAAAAAAAAATACCCGAAGGGGTGAAAATCGAAAAATAAGGGTTGATTTTGAAAAAAAGGGGTCAAAAAATTTTTTTTTTAAATTTCGTATACATTTTTGAAAAGTACGTGAAAAATGCAATAAAATTCATTATAGATAAATTAAAATCCATTAACTTTTGTCATAGTTAAACGGATTTGAAAATGACAATGTTACCCTTAACGTCAAAACTTCAACCCCCTCTACTTTCTACAAATATTTTTTTAATGAGTTTATATTTTAGGGATTTATTACTATCATATAGGAGAACAATTTACCAAAGTATGAAGCCAATCCCAGAACATTGACTTTTTGGGCTGGGGCGATTGAAAAAGAATCTCTCATATACGAATCGATTCGTTTTAATGCAAGGAATTCAATTATTTTATGTATTAACTTGAATTTAAAAAAACACAAAATTTTTTAGCTAAAATATGAATTTTTGATTTTTCAATTTTTATTAATTCTTAAAATTTAATTCAAGTCTGTACTTTATATCCTATACTAATCGATTCGTTTTAATGCAGGGAATTCAATAATTTTAGGTATTAACTTGAATTTTAATAAACACAACATTTTTTAGCTAAAATGTGAATTTTTTATTAACTTTCATTAATTCTTTAAATTTCAATCAAATCTATACTTTATATATACTAATCGATTCGTCTTGATGTAAAGAAGATGATTATATTATACATTATATCCTTCGATATAATATCCAATAGATATTTTGTGGATGTCTTAGGGATATCCTGCGGATATCCTATGGATGTCCTAATGATGTCCCACAGACCGGCGGTTTGGATATCCCAAGGTATCCTGGGGACCATTCTAGGATATCGACCATTGATATGGATATCCTATGGATATCCTAGGGATATCATTTTGTTATGAGGGAATTATGACGTCAAAATCAAATCAAAAAATGAATTTCTCGAATTAAATTTGACTTTGACTTCAAAATAAATTTGAATTTTACGTCAGAATTAAATCAAATTACATAATCGACACCCATCAGGATCTATCGATTGGTTGGTTCGTTTTGTTTGTTAGCCTCTTGTCTCCAAAGCCGAAGCCGAATAGTCATTTTTCCTTATATAGAAATTTTAATTAATTGTTATCATTATGAGTCAGATAAATGGTCATAAAATGAACAACTTGTTTTAACACTACAATTATATGTTCAAGGGAATTTTCATATATTTCATAATTGTATATTATGTATTTTACAATTATTGATAATAAAGAAATATAAAAAAAAAACTCGGTTAGTTAGGTATTGCGTTAGCGTACGCTCCCCGGTCCCGTTAAATTTATTTTAAAAATTAATTTCGTTGTTAAAAAACGAAATGATTTCTAAAAAATTATTTGGTCGAATACAAGTCCCAAAATTTAAGAAATTAATTTCTTTCATTTTTGAAAAATTAAATTTCTTAAATCAATTTATTTATTAAACTGCGATTCAATTTCAAAAATATAATTACCTTTATTATTATTAGGTATTATTATTATTATATTATTTTATTTTAGTTATCTTTCTCTATTTTTTATTGATGATCTTATAAAAGCATAATACATAAAATAAATTAAGAATTTTATTTTTAGGGAGACAGTGGAGGACCTTTAATGTTTCCTAAAGAAACAACATTTTATCTGATTGGCATTGTATCATTTGGATTTCGATGTGCAGAACCTGGATTTCCTGGAGTATACACTCGAATAACGGCTTTTTTGGATTTTATACAAACGAATATGACATAAATGTACTCTCAATGTTTAACCCTATTGTCATGGTATAATGACAATTCGTCGATATAATTATATATAAGTTCAATTGCTTAATATAAAAACAAGAAAATAATAACACTTTTTTTGAATTTAAGGGATTTAAGTGATTGAAATCATGTTTTACATTTTTTATTTTTTAAACGTTAATAACGTTGGATAAAATAATTCTTAAAATATTCGTCAATAGATCGGTCTCAAAAAACTTTACAAAATGAAAGAAAAACATTTATAAATGTGAAAAACACTCATTGCAAATCAGCTTATTGCATAAATTTACACCGTCCGTCGATAACCACGCTATCTACTTTTCCGATTGACGATAAATAGCTTGGAATTCTGTATTATAATAATAGTTTGATTCCTTAATTGAGGCCCCGGCGCCTCTTCTTTAAAATAAAATAATTAAAAAGTTGACTTTTTTAATCTAAAAATTGTAGGTAATAGAGAGATTTAGAGATGAAGAAAATTACAAATTCAAATGCGAAAATTTTAATTTAATTTCTCTTTTTACATAGTTTATCAGATCATGTACAATTAAATGTTTATTTTGAACAACCTTTATTTTTAAATGACTAATGAATCCTTTGGTTTTAGCATTTGCTTATAACAAAAAGATAATAACATATAATATATCAAACTTAATTAATGATATTTGAACCTTTGTTCACACAAAAAATTATTATAATAGACATTTTTGTTTTGTCAGTAAATTTGTCGTCACAGATTAAAAAAATAGATCATTTTACAAAATTTTTAAATTCATCTTAAGTTAAAACTTTTATGATTTAAGAATGAATTATATTTAACGTTAATCATTTATTCATAGCATTTAACTTTGAAATTTTTCATTCAAGATTCATTCATGAATTTTAAATGTTAAATTTAGTGATGGTCATTTTAAAGACAAAACGTAATGTCTCTATTTTTAAAATATTCACTAAAACAAAGCAATTTTAAACAATTTTTAATAATGAAAAAAATATTAACCAATATACTGATTCGCATTAAATGATATATATGTATATATTTCATAAATTTCTCTAAACAAAAACTCTGTTGGTAGAAAGGCGATTACAACTTCCTTTACATTATAAAATGTTTTACATGTTTTGTACTTTTTGTGCAATACTCATACATTAGCAATTGTTACTATCCATATTAATCAAAAGACTTTTTTTTTCTTCTTTTTTCGAATTTTGAGATGTGTTCCTTAATTTCGGCTCAAAACATGGCTAAAACATAAACAGGTTTTAAGATCAATATTGAACATCCAACATCTTTTTAACTTAATTTTTCTATTCAACTTTATTGTTATAAACATTTTTTTGCTAATTTAATATTAATTTTTTTCTATTGATCTATACACAATAAATTAATTATTTTATAATTTGTATTTGTAATTTCATAATTTATAATTCTTCAACAGTTTCAATGGAATTCTTTTTAAAAATTCAATTATTTTCAAAGTTTTCAATCAAATTTTACGAAACTTCAATTACTTACAATTTTGTTAATTCAATATATTAAAAAATCCAATTATTTTCAAAAATATAATTTAAATTATTATTATTTAAAAAAAACTTAATTTATTCATAATTTTGAATAAATTCTTTGATAATTGAATTATTTTTGGAATTTTTAGTTTCAAATCTTTTAAAAATGTAAAAAGTCAAAACTTATAATTGCAACTCTTTCACTACTGAATTATTTCTATTGAATCTAATTGTTATTTATAAAAAAAAAAGTTAACTTGAACTTTTTTCAAATTTTATCATTTTCAAAAAATTCAATAAACTTCTGCAATAATTTAATTATTTAAGCAATTACGAAATTAAAATTATTGCTTTTAACACATTAATTTTAATTTTCTCAAAAACTTATTTATTTGTAAAAAAGTTATTATTATAAATTTTTGAAAAATTTTGTTATATTATTAAACCTTGATTACAGCTCTTCGAGATGTCAATTATTTTCAAACATTAAAATTTAATTTTTTAACAAATTTGCATCTATAAAGTTTTTCAAACTTCTAAATATTTTTCAGATTTTTAATTTTATAAAAATTTTTAAATCTTTTTTTTTTAATTTTCAAAATATGACTTCAAATTTGTAAATTTTGAATTTTTTATCTGTTTATATTACTCGCGGGTTTTTAGAGTCGCTAATAACAAATCCGAAATCAGTTTTTTAAAATTCAAAATGGCGGACTTTTTTTTAAATTTGATCAAATTCGCCTGAAACTTATTACTTGAAGGTTTTCGGGGTCGCTGATGATGAATCCTATGTCAGTTTCTTAAAATTTTAAACTTTGTTAAACTTTACAATAAACAAATAAAAAATTTAAAAATAGGGTTCGACAAATCTCTTCAAAATTTTATAATCTTCAATTCAAAAAAAAAATTTGAATTAAATTGGTTCAAAAATGTAGGCTATAGACTTTTTTTGAACAGTTAATTCCATTTTCCTCTCACTGTGCGCCGTCTCATGTTCATACAATACTTATTGAAATGCTTATGTAATATTCCTATTTAAGATTTAATAAAGCCAATAAAATGCAAGCAATAATTAGTTTTTTATTTAAAGAAAAAATAGAACTTACTGTTTCACAGATATTCATGTTACAACAATTTTCTATTGTAATTTCGCATTGAGTATTCGAAATTTGTGGTCTACTAGTTAAAGGAGTTGTTCCTTCTTTGCTCACTATAAATCGCTTTCTTATTCTTGGTCTGCGTCGTAATTTGCTTATATAGTAGAATAATATAACTACTAATATTAGCAGTAATACAACAACTGACGATAGAATAGGAATAGCATTATCACAATTGAATACTCCGTTAATTGACGATAGTTCTTCATAAGTAAGGTTTGTGCCCAAACATCTGCAGAAAAAATGAAAATTTTTTAATACATCGACAATGAAAGTTGATTATAAAAAGTTAGAATTCATTATTTAATAATATTTTAAATACAATATTAATGCATCATAACTTACTTAAAAGTATTAAATTCTATGTTATTTACATTAGGTTCTATAATCCTTTGGCTGGATGAATAATTTTTAAAATTTTCTAACTCGCATCGACTGCCCTTGAAGGTTTTACAATCACAGATTGGCATTCCATCTTTTATTGTACATTCTCCATCATTCAGACAATAATTGTAGCAGACATTTCGTTCACATCTTAAGCCATTAAATGTACTATGGCACTGACATGTAGGTAGACCTTTGGAACTAATTGTGCAAATTCCTTTGAGACAGTAATTATGGCATACAGAAGTTTCACAAGTTGTACCCTTAAATCTTCATAGAAATTAAAAATTCTTCATTAATTTTAGTGCAAAATAAATTAGTTGACTAATTTTTGTAATAAAATTATCTACTTACCCTGGTTTACAGTAACAAGATTTCTCTATTTCATTGTACAGTCCATTATTAAGGCAGTGTATAATATTAATTCGATTTAAGTCATTTTCCTCTATGCTGGCAGTAAGATTATTAAATGATGTAAGGGAAGTTACATTTGCTATGGGAAATTGTGATTTTTTTTCAGCAAAAACGCTGCAATTAATTATTCCACTATTATCACGAGTTATGACGCTAACTGCATAAACATCCTTAGATGATTCATGGTAAGATTTAAATTTTATTGGGATGTTTCCAGACTTTTTATTTTTATTTATCATCCAGGCTGCATTGTAAACCCAATCTATCCAGTAAATTCTATTAAAATCAACTGAAATATGAACAGGCTGCTGATGTTCACCATGAAAAATTAATTCACGATTCAATCCATCAAGATCACTTCTTTCAATTTTATAATGAATACCCTCCTCATCATCAATCCAATACAATTTTCCACTTGTGTGATCTACAGTTACTGCTACTGGCTCATAAAGATTTTCTTTAATTATTGTCGTTTTATTACTACCATCGAAATTTGATCGTTCTATGCTTTTTGTATTCGTATTCCCCCAATAAAGATATCTAAAGTCAAAAGTTGGTAATAATATATCAACAACAATTTTAAACATATAATATTGTTAAATATGGGACATTCTCTGTCAACGGGAGACCGCCTCCTGCCAAAAATTGGTTCAAGTATTTTAAGACATATGTATATAGAAATAAAAGCTAATTAACCTTACTTTCAAATGCCGTATGGCCTTTTTGAAAAAACCAATATGGCGGACCAATATGGCGGTTATAAGTGCTATAGGTCACTCAAAAAAGTAGTTTATCGTGTTTTAAAATTAAAATAGTCATCCTAGAACATCGGGAAAAGCATATTTTCGTGTAAGTTTTATCGATAAACACGATTGTAATATTTATTTTACCTGAAAAAATTATCTGTCGTCCCTAACCTCAAAAAAAAACGAAAAATGCAGTTTATTGTGTTTCACGATTAAAAAAGTCATCCTAAAACATCGGAAATAGCATATTTTCGTGTAACTTTTATCGATGAACACGAATCTAATATTTATTTTAACGGAAAAAATTATGTGTCGTCCCTAACCTCAAAAAAAACACAAAAAAGACGTTTATTGTGTTTCACGCTTATAAAAATTCATCCTAAAACATCGGAAACAAGTTGTAAATTCAGATGTTCATTACATGAACATTTTGCTTCCTCTTTACGATCAGCAAAAAAATTTGCTTCCTCGTGGAGAAAGCAAAATTTTATAGCCAAAATGTAAATTTTTGATTTTTTAACTTTCATTAATTCTTTAAATTTACCTCAAATGAATACTTTATATATATCGATCGATTCGTCTTGACGTAAAGAATACGATTTTATTATATATAACCTTAAATTTTTCTATTTAAAAATTTTTTCGATTAAAAAAAAATTTTGGAAAAAAGACGATAAAATTTTTTTTTTAGGTATTTTTCAAAATCCTTTGGTCAGATTTGAGATATTAATATGATAAATGAGCCTACCAAATTTTATCTCAATCCATTAAAACCTGTTAAAGTTATCTTCTAAACAAAAAAGGGATCCACACGCACACACACACACACATACATACATCCGGACAATTGATCAGGATCTCATAAAACACATTTCTATAAAGAAAAAAATTCGTTTCCGACACTTTGAAAAGTTTTATAAACGAAAGGACTACAAAGCATCCTCCACGAGGAAGCAAAAGCATACTTTCGTGTAACTTTTATCGATGAACACGAATCTAATATTTATTTTAACGGAAAAAATTATGTGTCGTCCCTAACCTAAAAACACAAACAAGCCGTTTATTGTGTTTCACGATTAAAAAAGTCATCCTAAAACATCGTAAAAAGCATATTTTCGTGTAACTTTTATCGATGAACATAAATTTGATATTTATTTTGCCGGAAAAAATTATGCGTTGTTCCTAACCTAAAAAAAACATGGATTAATCAGTTTATCGTGTTGCATGCTTAGCAAAGTCATTACGAAACATTATGAATAGCATAATATCATAAAAGTTTTATTGATTAACATCATTTTGAGATTGGTATCAAATTGAGTAAATAACAATCTTCAAGTTACTCCATTTGAGACCGCCTTAATTTCAAATTTTTAGGTTGGTATTGAAATGGTATTTTAATAGTCAAAAGTTTAATTATAAAATTGTTATAAATTATTTGGAAAATTATAAATTAATAAATATTAAAAATAAAATTATATTGAGAAATAAAATTAAAAGTATATACCTAAATTGAATTTCTGGAAATAATAGAAAAAGAAGTTAGATATAAATTCGAATTAAAAAAATTATGAAATTAATTTAATTTAATGAATTTGAAATAATAAAGAATAAATAAAGATTATTTTATTGCTGAAATTAATAATAATATAATAAAAAATTTAAATCATTTAATTAATTTTTTCTAATATTTGAATAATATTAAATAGATTCTTAACATCAGTGCGAATATTTAATATTTTTCAAGAGAAAATGACAAATAAGCTTTCCAGAAACTCGGGTGAATATGAGACGCGAAAAACCCCTTCTTGGTTGTTTTTTGAAGATCTGGCCAACACGTACCATTTTCCTGATGAAGAAATAACAAATTCGTCTTCACTGATAAAAGTTAAGCGAAAATATGATTTTTCCGATATTTTATTATGACTTTGTTAGGCATAAAACACGATAAACTTTCTTTTTTGTATTTTCTTAGGTTAGGGACGACACATAATTTTTTCCGATAAAATAAATATTAAATTCATGTTCATCGATAAGAATTACACGAAAATATGATTTTCCCATTGTTTTATGATGATTGTGTCAGGTGTGAAACACGATAAACTGCCGTTTTTCATGTTTTTTTAAGGTTAGGAACAAAGCATAATTTTTACGGCAAAATAAATATCAAATTTATGTTCATCGATAAAAGTTACACGAAAATATGCTTTTTCCGATGATTTATGATGACTTTTTTAAGCGTGAAACACAATAAACGGCTTTTTTGTGTTTTTTTAGGTTAGGGACGACACATAATTTTTTCCGTTAAAATAAATATTAGATTCGTGTTCATTGATAAAAGTTACACGCAAATATGATTTTTCCGATGTTTTAGGATGACTTTTTTAAGCGTAAAACACAATAAACTGCATTTTTCGTGTTTTTTTTGAGGTTAGGGACGACAGATAATTTTTTCCGGTAAAATAAATGTTACAATCGTGTTTATCGATAAAAATTACACGAAAATATGCTTTTCCCGATGTTCTAGGATGACTTTTTTAATTTTAAAACACGATAAACTACTTTTTTTGAGTGACCTATAGCACTTATAACCGCCATATTGGTCCGCCATATTGGTTTTTTCAAAAAAGCCATACGGCATTTGAAAGTAGGGTTGATAAGCTTTTATTTCTATATACATATGTCTTAAAATACTTGAACCAATTTTGGGCAGGGGGGGTCTCCCGCTGACAGAGAATGTCCCATATTTTTATTAACTAATATTTAATAATTTTGAAGACTTTAGAGATCTGTTAAATTACAAATTCTGTTAAAAATAAATTTAATTAAATAAAATACTGTTAAGTGAATATTCGGATAAATAATTCGATTAAAGATTAATTTTGTTGAATTAAAATTCTGTTATTGCGAAAATTTAAATAAATATAAATTCTCTTATACGAAAATCTGCTTTATAAAAGTTTGGCTAAATCAAAATTCTACGATATAAAAATTCGGTTTAATTTATAGTTTAATTCTGTTAAATATAAATTTGATAATTTTGAATTGCCGCAAAAATTTTTATAAGTTCAATGTACCTATTACAGGAATCAATAGCGATGGTTCGTGGCCTATTTCCTCTAAGGTCAACAACGTTTTCTCTATTTCCAGGGGGTTTAATCAAAGGAATATGCATTTTCATTATAATTTGTTTTACGGCGTCAAGCCAAAAAAGTGTACGAGATATAGAATCAAAAGTTAAACCTACAACGTAAGTTCCATTGGTAGCTAAAAATAAAAATAAATGATTATATTCTTCAAAAGGACCCATCTAAAATGTTAAAGTATAAATATAATTTAATAGCCAGATTATTATTAATCAGACACTCGATCAGACATTTAATTTCATCGTAAACATTCCCAGACAGCACAATTCTTTCCTGGAAGTTTCCAGGAAACTACCGCTGGTAAGTTCGGAAGTTACCACGGGTAACTTCCCGGAAGCTTCCTGGAAACTTCCCTGAACTTGAAAATGTCTTAGGTTCGGTAGTTTCCCTTGGTAACTTCCTCGGGTAACTTCCAGGAAATTTCCCGGCAAAGTCCAGAGGAAAGTTCATAGCATTTTAAATTGGTAGTTTCCAGGAAGTTTCTCTAAAATTATTTTATGAGAAAAAAATTTTTAAAAAAATATTTATTTCATTCTTGCCTTGCCTTCTGCTTATGTATTTCCAACATTAACGGAGAAATTTTCGGAAATAAAATTGGAGGGACTGGGGATCGAACCCGGGTTCGCCTCGCGCTAGCTAAATACCCTGACCACTATACTATCCAACCTGACTGAGAATCAATGACTTTTTCATCCTCTTGAGGTGCAAGTGATTTCATTGATTGGCACATGGTTGACATAAATGGCGGGGAAATTCAAAAATGGTTTCAATAAAACATTTAAATATTCAATTATCATATAATCTCTAATAATTAAAATTTCATTCAAATAAATTTTTTTAGAATTATATTAAACTACACTTTAATTTATTTTTTAAAATAAATAATAATAAGTGTATTTAGCTAGCGCGCGGCGAACCCGGGTTCGATCCCCAGTCCCTCCAAATTTATTTCCGAAAATTTCTCCGTTAATGATGGAAATACATAAGCAGAAGGCAAGGCAAGAATGAAATAAATATTTTTTTAAAAATTTTTTTCTTATAAAATAATTTTAGAGAAACTTCCTGGAAACTACCAATTTAAAATGCTATGAACTTTCCTCTGGACTTTGCCGGGACATTTCCTCCGACAATTTCCTGGAAGTTACCAGGAAGTTACCAAGGGAAATTACCGAACCTAAGACATTTTCAAGTTCAGGGAAGTTTCCAGGAAGCATCCGGGAAGTTACCCGTGGTAACTTCCGAACTTACCAGCGGTAGTTTCCTGGAAACTTCCAGGAAAGAATTGTGCTGTCTGGGTTGTCTGTTTTTACTTTTTTTACTTCTATTATATAATCATTACATTAGTTTTAAAACAATAATAATATATCTTACCCTTAAATAAACATTCTGGTTTGATGTTTTTATCTAGAGTATTTATTCTGAATATAGAACCATTATTATTTTGATTATCACTGAAAAATAGTGTATGAGTGATATCATCATAGGCAACTCCCTTTAAACTTTTAACTTCAGGAATTTTTATTTCTCCAATTAAAGTCCCATTTTTAGTTAGAAAATCAATTCCGTCACCAACTGCTATCGCCATATCTGTGTAAAACAAAAATTTTTTTTGTAGGAATATTTTTTTTAAATGCGACTTTTATCGTCTTCTTTTAATAAATTGCTAATTTTTCGATTTATTTTATAAAATAAAATAAAATTTAATTAATTAAATCAAAAGTAAATTAACTAAGACTTTTTTCAGTATAAAGTGTAGCTTTTTCCAAAATTCAATCATTTTGAAAATTTATACATCTAAAAAGTCATTTATTTCATCATATTCCATTAATTTATTACAATATTTTACCTCGGACCAAACTGGACTGAGTTTGGATTGAACTCAGTCCACACAATACGCCAGAAATTTTTAAAAATTCTCTTGAACTCGATTATTTGCATAAAATTTCTTTGCAAATATCTCTATTAATTAAAATTTATGAAATTTTCAATTCAAAATCTTCTGAAATTTAATTTATTCTAAAAATCTGAACTGCAATTGCAATTCAATTGTTATTATTATTATTTATTTAATATTTTCTAAAATTAATGGAGGGATTTTTTGAAATAAATTTTGGAGGGACTGGAGATTGAACATGGGTTCGCGCGCAAAAAGAAATAACCTAACCAACTATCAGAAAGGAAACTCAGTTTCGGATCCTAATAAGCTGCAAGTGATCTGATTGGTTGACACGTGGTTGATGACATAAATGGCGGGCTAATTTGAAATCGGATCAAAAGAAATATTCTAATATATGCTTTAAAAAGGGAATCTAATAATTTAAAGTTCATTCAAATAATTATTTGAACACTGACTTTTTTTAAAACAATTATAAAAAGATTATAATATTAAAAAATTTTTATAAAATATTTTTATATAAACTTATTTAATAATTAATAAAATCAAATAAAAAATTTATCATAATAATTATTGAATTAAATATTAACTAAACTAATTAAATTAGTTCATTTAATTATTTATTTTTATTTTATTTAAATATTTCTGCTATATAAAAATTATAATTTTTGTCGCCAATGTTCATTATAATAAATTATTTTAATAATTTTTTTTTTGGTTTATTTTTAATAAAAATTGTTATAATAATTTACCTTACAATTGTTTAAATCAGTAACAAAATGTTGGTCAAGATTAAAAATTGCGCTAATCATCTATTTGCAAATTTAATTTGAAGTAATAAAAAAAATCTATCAAATCATTCAAGAATTGACCATTGCAGAAGATTTTTAAAAGTAAATTTCCATTTCGAACGTCATTACATCTGAAAGTAAATATATATTTCAGCAGAATTCTAACAATTTATATTAAAACTGCAGAAGCATTAAGTAAATTTAAAAAGACTATCCAGGGCGAGAAAAAATAGTGATAGGAGTATAATGAGTGTCAATAAATGGAAAATTAAAGAAGAATCATATAGACTAATAAGATTTTAATAAGGATAAAATTAAAATTGAGAACAGCATCAGTGGAAATGGCGCATGAAATAAAAGGAAATGAACGAGAATTTCGAAAGTCCAGTCTTCTAATATGTGGAAGCATGCAGATAAAAACAGGTTTAATAGTAAGCAGTGTCTGATTCATAATGATCTATGAAGATGGTTAAAATTATTAAGCCAGAAACTTCACTGGAAAATTACCCTTATGCTCCAAAAAAAAACTTTTGTGAATTTCAGTTGTAACGAGAGAATCTCAAGACAACTTCCTTAACATACTACAGAAATTCTTGAATAATTTTTGTAATTTTCTGTAAGTTTTGTAGAATTTTTCTCATATCCTCAGTTCTTGAACAAATTCAGAAATGATTCTTAAATCTGAATTTTAAAAATTTTTACCGTAGATCGAACAAATTACGATTAAATTATGGACAAAAACTTTCAAAACGCCAAATGAATTCTTATAGGAATTTATAACATGAATTCTAAAAGGAATTTTCGTGCGAATTATTTCCACCTGGGCATAGTTTATCAAATGAATAAACAAATTTTTTTAATCATGTTATTAAGTCAAAGAAATAAAAGTAAAATCTTAAAGGATTTAAATTTAAATTCCACCTACTCACAAAAAAAAGGACTTTAAATAATGGCCTTAAAAAGACAAGATAAAGAATAGATTCAGATAACTAAAGCAAGATTCAAACTGCACCTATTCACAAAAGGCAAAAATTTAATAACATAGCACTAAAAGATAAAATGGAGAATAGAATCTGCCAATGAAAATCGACATCAACAGTTCCAAAAACAAGTTTCAAACTTCACCTGTACTCATAGAAGTTGAAGCGCATGATTATTCCATGAAACAAAAAAATTTTTGGTAACTTTTATTTATCAAAATTTTTATTTTACAAAATTTCTTTTTATTAAAATTTTGTTTATTTAAAAAAATTCTAATTTAATTTGATTTTAATTTAGCATAATTAGCTTAACAATTTTAACCTTTAAAAATATATGTTGAGATATTAAATATCCCGTGAATATCCTAAGAATATCCCACGGACAACCTGAGGATATCCCGTGGATATCCTGCGATATAATATCCAATAGATATTTTGTGAATGTCTTAGGGATATCCTGTGGATATCCTATGGATGTCCTGTTGATGTCCCACAGACCGGCGGTTTGGATATCCCACGATATCCTGGGGACCATTCTAGGATATCGACCATTGATATGGATATCCTAGGGATATCCTTTTGTTATGAGGGTTAAGATTCTAATATCCTTATCAAATCAATTAATTAGTTAAGCAATGTGTGATTTTCAATAATTAATTCGATTTTTTGAATATCAGAAAATAATACAATATAAGTTAATTGTAATATATTTTAAAAGATATATTAATATGATTCTTAAAAAATATTATTTTAAAATTATTGTTATTATTATTATAAAATAATTAATTTTACAGTAATTGCCCTGGCGAATTGTATGGATTTAATTTGGACTGAATTCGGTCCACACAATCTTGTTTTTTAAAAAATAAAATTTGAAGAAACTTTATATTAGAAGTTATATAAAAAATTTTATTATAAAATTATCCAAAAAGAAATTTTTTAATTTTTATTAGTTATTTTATATGTGTACGAAACTCCTTTAGTATTTGCATTTTGCAATAAGACAAGTGAAAATAAAGAATATATATATATACGTTTTTAAATACATAGTTTTGACAAAGGTTTCGTTAATATGTTAAAGCTTCAAAAAGTCATGTTTTAACAAATTTTTAATTTCCAAAAGGTGAGATTAGACGAAATGTAAAAAATATAGTAAATATAAATTTTTTTTATAATTTGATATATTTAACTGTTAAAAATTGTTATTTCAAATAATTTTTTAATTTGTCTATTAATAAAATGTTAATGAAAAACTAGGTTCTTCATCTCCTATGTAAAATTTAATTATCGCTGATAATTAAAGATAGTTCAACACAACCCTAATAACACAAGATATCTTGGGATATATTGATAATATCCCGCAGATATCCTAGGGATGTCCTATGGATATCAAAAGGATCTCTTAAGGATATCCAAAAAATCGGCGGTTTGGATATCCTTTGGATATCTGAGGATATCCACAGGATATCTTCTGGATATCTCTATAGACTTTGATAAATGTTCTCCAGATATCCCATAGATATCGTCAGGATATTCTCAGTATATCTTCTGGATGTCAAGAAGATATTCTCAGGATACTGTTTTTAAAGTCATTATGAGACTACGAGTGAGAATATTCTGTGAATTAAATTTTATATAAATAAAATAAAATGCAACTTGTTTTTCGAGAAAGTTGTTTAATTTGAAAAATTATTAACTAATTTTTTTCTCATTCGTGATTAATTCCTTTATTCATATGCTTAATATTGTCAGAAAATAAATTGGCTTTAAACAATATAAATTCTTTCCCGTAAATAACGAATAACTATTAATATTAATTATACATTAAGTGCATGAGTTTATTTAAAAACTTTGAAAAATGCGTTTCAAATCTTGATTTAAAATAAATTAGAAGCTCATAAGATTTTTGTTTTTATTATATTATTATTCATTATATTAGCTTAACAATTTTAACCTTTAAAAATATATGTTGAGATATTATATATCCTGGGGACCATTCTAGGATATCGACGATTGATATGGATATCCTAGGGATATCCTTTTGTTATGAGGGAAGTGTACACCTTAATTCACAAGTTATTTCCCCTCGTATTTCGCATACATTTCTGAATATAAAACTGTTGAGAAAAAAAATAACATTCAATTAGAAAAAACTTATTTAATAATAATTATTTATTTCTAGGTATAATAATTCAATAATAAAAATAATTTAAAAAAAAATATAAATTATAAATAATAATGTTTATTTATAATAAGTTAAACGCTACTCGTATATCATTTTCAATAAAGAATTTATTATATCATTATATCTATATAAATAATTAATATATATTGTTTCTGTTTCATTTGAATAAGATTTTTTTAATTGGGTGTCAGTTTTTTTTCAACGAATTTATTCTTGAAAATCTTTATGCGATGTAAAATACTTTAAAAATTTTTCTTAACACATCTATGCTCCCATATTTTTTGCATGTTTTCATATTAATTAGATGTTTACAACCATGAAACCACATCTTGTCTTCGTTTACTACATACATCTCAGTCACGTTTTCTCAAATGTTTAATTAATTATAAACTTTTTTTTTGTTTATAAATTGTCCAATTAAATATTGACATTTTTTTTATGTAACCACAAAAAAATTATTTTCTTTTTCACAGTTATTTTCAATAATTTAAAACAAATTCTTCGAAAATTACATGACTTAAAATAGTTTTCAATTGGAAATTCACTAAAATTCAATTATTGTCTTAAGTTTTTAAATAAATTTCACTAATTCAAAATAAAAGTTTCAATTAATAATCTCATGAAATTCAATTATTATTTCTAAAAAATTTTACTCGAACTATTCTAAAATACAATTATATCTAAATTTCTAAATTCTAAATTTATCAAAAATTCTTTGTTAAATAATTTAATTTTAC